CTTCATAAGACTTCTAAAGACTTCATAAGACTTCTAAAGACTTCATAGGATTTCATAGGACTTCAAAGGACTTCATAAGACTTCATAGAATTTCATGGAACTTCAGAGGACTTCAAAAGACTTCGTAAGACTTCACAGACTTCGTGAGACTTCACAGACTTCATGAGACTTCACGGACTTTGTGAGACTTCACAGACTTTGTAGGACTTCTTGAGACTTTATGAGACTTCACCAGACTTCATAAGACTTCACAAGACTTCATAAAACTTCACAAGACTTCACCAGACTTCACAAAACTTCATAAGACTTCACAAGACTTCATAAAACTTCACAAGACTTCGCTAGACTTCACAAAACTTCATAGGACTTCACAAGACTTCAAGAGGCAGATTCTATGAGTATCAAAAAACCTTATAGAAATTACATGAAACTTCTATAACATGCAAAAAATAAAACTTATCATATAGAGATTACAAAAGTGTTTCTTGTTTCTGAGAATTGTCTCTCGCAGTATATCCATATCTAGAATAAAGATGTGGCAATGACACAAAGCGTTGATGAAATTAAAACGGAGACAATAAACTTTACTGGTAAGCGTATAGTTGATTCCATTAATCCAGCATTGAAAAACTCCTATTTTCAGGTGCAAATAAATAACAAGACTAAATTTATATACAAGCAAATGGCTGGTTGCTTATTGACCGACAAAGCTAGCCGGTTATCGGCTGATGGATTATCACGAGTGATAGAAACAAACAAAAAGGAATAAAATTCTTCATAAGACTGACATTCAATAGATGGAACATTTCCTATAAAAATAAATCACTTCATTCAAAAGCAGTTATTCACTATCATGTTTTCTAAGATCCAACAAACTTGAGTTTTTTTCCAGCACATTGAAAAAAAATAAAAAGTTCCCCTTTCTGCTAAAATAAGACCATCGAAAACAAGACAATTTCATTGGTTTCTTATGAATTTTCATGCACTACCCAGGTCAAAAAATCTGACAGCAGATCTTGTACGAATATATGAAATTGTACAAGAAATCGTAGTCTCTGAAATCTTACATCAATTCTTACTGCAAGATTTCTATCAGATCCTACCGTCGCATAAGATTTTCTAAAATTTTACAGTCAGATTTGGCAAGAAAACAAAATCTGTCAAGAGTCTTACAATAAGAATTGATGTAAGATTTCAGAGACTAAGATTTTTTGTACGATTTGGTATGAATCGTACAAGATCATACATGATCAGACACATAATCTTGTCCGATCTTAGTGTCCGATTGTTTGCCCTGGGATAAATGTATTTCAAAACTTCCAGAAGAATTCATGAGACTTTATTAGACTTCAAGAGACGTCAAAAAACTTCAAGAGACTTCATGAGACTTCAAAAGACTTCATGAGACTTCAAGAGACTTCAAAAGATTTCATGAGACTTCATGAGACTTCAAAAGACTTCATGAGATTTCATGAGACTTCGTGAGACTTCATGAGACTTCATAAAACTTTATGAGACTTCAGAGACTTCAAGAGACTTCAAGAGACTTCAAGAGACTTCAAGAGACTTCGAAAGACTTTCAAGACTTCATGAGACTTCACGGCTGAAGTCTCTGCTGTTTCCCCCTTGACTTGTGATCATCATGATCACAGCAAGGTAGACAATGAATATTCACATTCGACACAACAAAACTCGGCGCACATGGACATTTTAATATATCTTACGTCGGAGTACAATTTTCTCGAAGAAGATCTATGAATTTGTTTGCCTCAATTCGATTTCACTGTTAATGTGTTGGAATTTTTTTTAATGCGAATATTTCCAATAATAACTTACTCGATGCAAATGTGAGTAGAAATAATGATATAGGAACGAATACGAAGTGTAAATCAGAAATTGTAATTTTCTAACTTATTATCCCTCTAATATACCAAAAAATCAATCGATTCATATATTTTGTTGCCTTTCTATGTTTGATTTTCTCAGGCCTTCATCCTGAGAAACTGTAAGAAATTTCTATTTGTCTCTTCTGAAACAAATGTATGCTGTCGGAGAATGTGGGTGTGGAAGAAATCAATATTCTCATACACCCACCTACACCCTCTCTCAGCTTTGGCGTGAAACAAACAGTATCCTATGTTTATTGGAAGTATGCGACTAGTTTTTGAAAGACAATATGATTTGTTTATATCCGAATATCAAGTCAAAACATTCCTGGAAGGTGATACTTTGATACGAACTCTAAAGAAGTCTAGTCGAGAAAATTTACTCAATGGATTGGTTATATTCAAAGAAGAATTTGATGACAATGAACGAGCTCTAGTAAGTTTTTGTTTGCGTTATTTATCCAATCTGATTGAATTTTCAAACAAGAACATTTCTCAGAAATTGAATAAATTATGAAGAAGTTTTTTATTATTATTCATTTCGTTTCAGCCATTTGATCTCATTATTCCTAAGATTTGTCTTTGTTGAGATATTGTTTTTTTGAATTACTGAAATATCTGACATTAAACGGTACAATCAATCTATTTTCCACTAATATTCTTCCTATACTACATCAATATGAAAGAAAAGTAGAGATTTGTCAATCTTCTGATGCATTTATTAAGATGATTCTTCGAAAATTCAATGCTGAACAAAGTGTTTCGTTACATCTGAATAACTACGTCGTACACAAAAAAATCAGTATTATCACATTAAAGCTTTTTAACTTTCAAAAATTAGATTCAATCAATAATTTTAAAACATGTTTTCTTAAATTAATGTGTCTTTCCCTTTGGTATGACGATGAAGCTAATCTTCGTGTTTTTGAATGCTATTGTCATGAAACGAAAGAGTTCAATCGAACAACTTGAAGTTCATTGTCCCGCATTGGATTGTTCTCATTCAGAAGCATATACAGATCATATGTTATTCCGCATGAAACTTTCATTTAAATATTTTCTTCTTGATATAGGCAGCTGTCCGTTCTCTTCAATTAGGAGCTGCTTGCAACACTACCAATTATGTTCTTTGATGATAACAATTAATTTTATCAAATAAATGCATCTTATCCAACAAGTTCGATTGATTCATCATTAATCAATACAACATGGATAAATTATTAGATTTAAATGAGTGGAAAAAGTTAGCATATACATGTGCTATTTTAGGGACAATAACTTTGAATGTACTAGAGTGTATGGAACAAGATGAAGAATTAGCGAAAAAAGCAGTAGAAATTCAAGATGCACTATATCCGAAAACTGAAAAGCGTAAAACTGAGGGTGTAGGTATTCATTTTATCTAAATCCATACTAACACTCAATACGAAAACGACTAGTCCATCAAAGAGTTTTCAGTTAATTAATTGAAAAAGTAAGATGTTATTGAGTCTTGTGGCATATTGAGAAAAGAAACATGTATTTTATTACTATGTAACCTTTAAGATAAATTTTAGACTAAAAGCTGAATTTCGACGAAAAAATATTCTCTGTAAAAAATAGATGTTGATTCTTTTTAAATCAAAAAACCATTTTATTTAAAGAAATAGAAAGTCAGGAATAAAATTATTTTAAATATTCGCTATTTAATAGAAGTCCACAAGTCAAAATTTGAATGGAATCATTCTGATTTAACTATTTTTGTACGACGATGATCTGTATCATGTAAACCCATGAATTCACATTTTTCACATAAATTAATTCCACAAGCACATTTGTAACGAATACCAATAATCGGTTTCATAAAACATGAATTACATTGTTTATTCTTATGATTGATTTTACTACGATTACTTAAGTAAATCGACTTTGGATATTCATTGGAATCTTTAATACATAATAATGGATGATTGTATTGATGATTCGAATCATAATTTGTTCTACTAACAGACTTACATGATTGACAAAAATCAATATTGGGACAAAATAAACATTTGTAACGATCTCCTATTATTGGTGATATATCACATCCATCACAAGTAATACGTGAAAGAATATTCGTATTTAAATTTTGATTATTCGTTACTGTATTGTTTGAAATTTGTTGAATATCATCATTGAAGTTTACTTTGCATACATCAATCATTTCCTGATTACTATTCAATCGTAATGTAACAATTTCTTTTTGTTGATTTGATTGTCCATAATATTTATAAATATGTACCATGATTGTCGTTGCACCAGTTAGACTTTGTTGATGATTAGCAAAATATTTTCCTCGAACTGTATATATACCTTTGACTGCCTTTCGAACAAGATATTCTTCTGGTCCATAGCCCGTTGTAAAATCACGACTTATCATACCACCAATAGCTGTATTTTTATGAGAATAATAACATTCTTCACCTGTTGGTTCAATAACATGTAAATCAACATCTGTATCATTTGTATCCCAAACCATAACAATTCTTAAGTCAACAGGTAAATGACGAATAAGACGATTATCAATTGAATTCAATATTTGTTGTTGTTGATGAAATTGAAATACGAAATAATTCAATTCATGCAATGTTGTAACTTCAATTTCTGAATAACGATTATCCCATTCACCAAATATAACTTTCTTAAATAGATCTGATATTTCTATAAGATTCTTTGTTTCAGAATTCGATTCTTGTAATAATAATGCTAGATCTCGAAATGATTGTGGCTCGTCCGATCTCAAATTTACAATATGTCGAAAAATATTCTCAGCTAAATTATAAAGACCAAGTTCAACAAGTTTATAAGCAACAGTTCGTAATAATTGTACTGATTCTAATTCTAATTCTAAAACATTTGTAAGAATACGTAAACCAAAATATTGATATTCATTTGAAATATTATAATTTGACTGTGCATAGTATTGATTAAATGCATCAATTGATGATTGTTTTGAATTTGAAGAACGAGCTTGTGAGAAAAAATATGATGCTATATCAAAATAAAATGATGGTGATTTAGAATATGATTGACGTTCATTTAAATAAATTTGATAAGCTATTTGTAAACTAGTACTTGATTTAATTTTATTCATGTATGGTGTTTGTGGATCCCAATTTTGAAGAGTAATCGTTTGAGTATTACTACTAGTATTAGTAGTAGCAAGGTTATCATCAGATAAGCGTCTTCTTGAAGATGATGATCGGTAGTGAGAGTTTTCTTCCTCCTCATCCGCCTCTTCATCCTCATAATCATCAACAATATTCTTATTCATTTCCATCTCAAAATTATCCATGGATAAGGGTGATGAGCTTTCTGCTTCATCAAATTGTCTGTAGTTCATTGTAACTTCTGGGGACTCAAATGAATCATCATCTATTGCATAGTCACGGTCGACCATCGTAGAAGGTGGTGATCGGGACCGACTTCGTGTCATTCTACGGTATTCCCTATTATGTTGGTTAGAGTCTTTGTTTTGGAATGCATTTCTACGATCTTTGTCTGTTATTATTTTATCATACCATGTGCAACGTTTTTGCCATAAATTCAAGACAGCTGTTAGTTTTGATTGATTTTTAGTTAATTCTTCTTGTTTTTTATTATCTTGATAGGTTATATAATCATTATATAATTTTGTACGTGATCGATGTGGACATATATTATATTCAATATGTTGTTGTAATGTTTCTAAGACGAGTATTGATGTAAAATCACTTACAAGTGAATATTTCAAACCGATATCTAAAATACGTTTTTTATTCTTTTCTGGAAATGCACTTAATTCAATTAACATTTGTTTAGCATATAATCGTTGTAATAATCCATAATTTTCAGATGTTGAATCTACTTTATCGATCTTTAATTCTTTACGATGTATTTGATTTGAAATAATAAAATTAACAGCAATATTAGCTGAGGTCGATGATGACTTTTTGCCAACAAGTATGAATCGTTCTGTATTTGGTGTTAATGTAATTGAATGACTCGGATAAATATCATAAACATTAGTATCATTGATAATATTCGTATTCAAATATCTTGTTTGTGGTCTATCAATCCATTGAACAAAATCATTAACATTATTTAGAGTCATGATTTTCTCACGTGAAATATAGCCACCGCCACTAAGATTCGTTAAATAATTAATCAATGGAAAATTACTTGGTTCACGTGTAGAATTAGCATTAAATATCCATATTGGTTTTGTTGTTAAATTATTCAATAGGATTGGTTCATCATTACCAATAGTCGAAAGACAATCACTAAATAAAAAATAATGTGTTACATTTGAAATAATAGTTGAAAGTTTAGCTAGTTGAAATAGATTTGTTGCACCATCATATGGTAGATTAGTTAAAAACTGATTAAGTTGAGACCAATAGTCTTGTTCTTGTAAATTAAATGAATGTGGTTCTTCAAATTCATTTCGAAAAACAACAATGGTTAAGTTAATATCATTACCATTCAATTTCCAAGTATTTAATATCATCTTGAGCATACTAATTTCATGATTACGATTTTCCAAATTAGCTCGACTTAAGCTTGCATCCCAAAGTATACAAATTGACATTAACTTTTGACTATTGGATACGATGTTATTTGTTTGTGATAGTGGTGGCATATAGCATAAAGCAAAATAAGCTTGACTGTGATCATCAGGATCGATTTCTACACTATGAATAGGTTGTCCTGGTGTTAGACTTTTTAGCATATATGTAATAGACTGTTCATCTTGTGATGGTTTAACATTGACTTGATGAAATTCGAAAGAATATCTTCCGTTTGAATTTACAAAATTTTGTTGAAATTTTACTTTGGAAAGAAATTGTGGTTGACAGTCATTTGATGCATGTGTACAATATAATGAAATATCCAAATTTTCAAGTGTAGTATTAAAATATATAGGAATATGAAAAAGAAAGTGATCATTTTCCATTTGTGCTTGATCTTGGTAAATGACACGAACAATTCGTGTACCTCCAACTGGCATTGGATAAACTCTTGTACGAAATACATTTCCTTTGATCATCTCAACTAAACCTGGATCAACACCTTTTCGAACTTCTTTTTCAAATGTAACACGAGCTTTTTCTTTTTCAACGACAACACCATCAACAATAATACCATCAACATCAAGACCTATGAAAAATAAATATCAAGTTTTTTTTTGTTTTTAGATTCGTAATTCTAAGAAAGAAAATTGACTTACCAAATCCACATATGGTTGCTGTTTCAGGTAGAATAAATTCCAAAGCTCCTTCTAATATGCGATTATGTTCATTTTTAAATGTCATTGTTGTTGCTATTTGATGTATGAGTGGAAATTTTGCATTGACTTGTTGTTCGATTTGCAATTCGATCATTTTCAATGGTGTTGAAGCAGCATCACCGAATTTCGTTTGCTGACCAAAATACATCGGAAACGACGTACGACTATTGTCATAATTAGTATGTAAAGACATGTTGAAGACTAAACAACGTTGTTTTAGACAATTACAACAATTTCAACAATTTCAACCTTAAACTAGAAAGAAAATGAAAAACATATATGGAACATCACTGCCAATTTAAAGCAAACCATTTCGAAATTTTTTTTGTAATACGCAATTTTTCTTTCCTTCCTGTATGAAATTACAGAATAGCGTTTAGCAACGATAGCAAGATATATGTTATTCCTTAAGTCGCATAAGAAGGAAAGAAAAATAACGTATTACTTTCATTATAGTGTCATAAGAATTTTTCTTTTCGTTCTTTCGTTTTTCTCGTTAGAGTTTCAGTCTATCACTATATAACTCTAACAGTGATCAGTAGTTTGACTGAAATCCTTATCAATGAAGCTCTAATAAAGGGTCACTGAATTTTATAATGTTTAATGTGAAATAGCTCTAATATACAGTAATGTTATTCTGGAACTCTTACGAAAACGATAGTACAGCATAGAATGGACATCTTTAATCAAAAAGTATGATTTTATAAACACACAGACGGAAGAGAATAAGGAGAGAGATATGAAAGCATGCTTACTTTACCTTTCTATACTATTTCAATATTAATATGCTGTAAACTGACTACTGTGCGCTTATTTAAGAATCGAAAAAACAGCATCGTTTCATAATCACACGCAATATTATGAAAAAGAAAATATAACAGAAATATCATCAGATTGGTTGACGATGTATCCAATCAAATGTTTGTTACGACTGCACATTATGACGATAATGATTCAACTTCCGAATTGCATGAAGATTATGAGATTTGACTGTAAATAAAAATTCAAGATTGTAGTTTTCGAAAAGCAAACTGTGTCGATTTGTACATTCTATATAAAAAGCAGATTCAAATCAGATTAAAATTGACTTTCATAAAATAATAAGAAAAAATTGATAAAAACTAGCTATTTCCAACTGAATTCGATGTGAATTTCTATATGTGGGTGTGGGTACAGATCTTCTTTTAATAGCATCCACAACTACCGCCATTAAGATATCTTTTTTCAACGATTTTTAAGAAGGGTGTGGCTGTGGTTGCAAAGAAAAATGTAACCACAGCCACACCCACATACCTGTGTGAAAAGCTTAGCATGTATGAATCTTATTAATAGGAAGCAAAAAAATAAGTTCGAAACTGAAGCTGTATCTTCAAGCCATAGAGAACTACCATTTAACTGTTTATTTCTGAAATTACTAAAAACATTCATATCTCCACAATGTGCAAATTGAAAGACATTGCTTTCAGGCATGAATGGCGAAATAAATTTTAAACTGCAGAGGCTCATTGATCTTTTTTGAGGGGTCAAATGGTTCTTTCGCGAAATTCTGCTGAAAGAAAACTATATATAATGTCAAATTTCCAAAAGCAGGACGAGCTTGAGTCTCCTGTTTCTTCACCTATGTTTAAAAGTAACCTGATAGGGAGTCTGAAGAACTTTTCCTCAACGCAATTTTTCTGTGCTGATTTCCTCGTCAAGAATAACTGTATCAATGAACTGTTTTTCCAAACGTTGATACAGTTATGTATGCATTGGTAGTAATTAATGCATGTTTTTCTAGTGTATTACACAATGCAAGTTATTAGTAGGAAAGACTGACCATACATTTTCAATGCACGAAAAGAAAGTTGAAGAAAATTTTTGTTGGTTTAAGATAATAGCATCTCATATTGCAACTGTTGTGCATTAATTTATCTGATAAGCTTACACTCTCTCGAGTGATGGAAAAAAGGAACGACAAAGATATTTATTATTTTCATCTTTGTTGTTATCAGTCTCTCAAAGCGTTATTACCCAACAACACACGCTAATTGTAATTTTCTACTGAATGTAAAAAAAAAGATTGTGCAATTTTTTTCAAAAGTTTTTTCGTTAAGCATTTGATTGTCTAGATATAATTTTACTAGAAGTATTTCCGATGTTGAAAGTATAATCTTGATGCAAAATTTTGATAATATTCTTTGCTTAAACCTGATGCAGAAGTTTAATATGCGCAAAGAGAAGACTTAAATCGATCAATAATCAGATCCACATTGTTTTCCGAGCTAAATCATCTCTTTAAAAAAAAAACTTACTCAAATCACACATATTTTGACTTTTTTTTTGTAAAGATCTATTGTTAAAAGAGTTTTTTTTTTTTTCGGTATGTCTATGAATATTTGAAATTAAACCGGTTGAAATGAATAAAACCAATTGAATCATGAGTAATACTTGTGATGAGTTCGTTTGATACGTTTGTGACTAAATGATATATTCGACTGGTTATTCATGGTTTTATCAAGCCACAAGTGTACTGAATCGATCGGATCACAGCTGTCATAACGTCTCAATGGAATTGACTCTACTTGATATGCAACATTTCTTTTCATTTGCCAAAACCATATATCAATTTCATGAGCAAAATGCCATGGTTTATTTATTCGAAATGTGACTCTTGATAAATGTTCAGCTCATTCCAGTATCATTTTAGCATCGGTCAAACGTGTAATATCAGTATCAAGACACTTGATATGACGAGGTAAATTTAAACAAATAGCATTAAGAGTTATCATTTTCATTCTCTCAGATTTATTGCAGCTTATTCGAACTGAACGAAGATTTGATACTCGTTTTAACAGATTCTTCATTTCGACATTGGGTGTGGGGTGGCTGAGGGTGTGGGTGTGGGCATGCTGGCAAGTTGTACTCTCTGGATGAGTACATTCACTAGGGTAATCATACCGTTACCAATCATATTTGTGGGTGTGGGTGTGGATGTTGTTCTTTTCTTGACCCACACTCCATACCCACACGATACTTCTGCTATAAGTTCGAAACATACTCTACTGTTCCTCCAGCTTAGGACGAAGACATGGCCTCTTTTAAGCTGAATATTTTCTTTTTGTTTTTTCTCTTGTTCTTTCTTCGCATTTTTAGCCTAAACCAACCAGACTTTCATTAACCCTTTGAGGACCATTGCTCAACCAATGAACGAAGTTTCTTTTAGATTTGATATTTAATATTGACAGCGTGTATTGTGAATATTTTCATCAAAAATTTTTAAAAATCTTCAAAGTCATTTTTGACCCATCCCCGTAGGGGAGTACGGGTGTGGTCAAAGCTCGACTGAGAGCTATCGCAAAACCGACCTTCGGAATATTACAAGGAGTCAATCCTAACTTGATTCTAATGTAGAAAAGCGAAATATTTAGGGAACCGCGAAAGAGCATTAGCTGCCCTCCTTCTTCTGGAGATGGTATCCCAAAAGCTCTTCAAGCTTACTACCTGAGTGACTCCATTAAGGTTACGATTCTTCTATAGATGTATGCACAGAAGTCTTTTCTATGCCATAGAGCAAACCGCTTCTTAATATCTTTTTGCGTTCACGAGTTATTGAAATATTTAGAAACTTAAAAAAATGTGTACTTTATAAAGTACGCTGGTCCTCAAAGGGTTAAAGAGAACAATTTTCTGACATTGGTTGAGTTTCTAAATGTACATAAAAAGAAGAAAACGAAACAAAACGAGAAAGAACTATGTCTAGTCTTGATATGTTATAATTTTTTTGAAGAACATGAAGAACAATAACAAAATTCTAATTTATTTTCATCAATTACTTCAATTAAATGGGGTGGGGTGTGGGTGTACTTGAAGAGAAGACGCCACTCCACCCCCATCTACACCCACATCCACACTCTATTTGTATGATCTTACAGAAAAATTGTCTCGTATTCACGATACTGTGTGTTTTATTTATTTCAGCATGAAGTACAATGGTGCTTCTTTCTTAGAACAGTCGTGCTCTGATAATTATTATTAATTCAATCATTGAACAAAAATGTAACAAAATGACTTATTGCTAGTCCTTGTATAATTTTAAACGATCTGAATCACCTAAAATCATATTGAAATGAATTTCGTTGCATATGTATGTTTGTTTTTGGCTTTTTTGTCATCAGTCTTCGTCCATTTATCTTGAGAATGTTCTGCTGTTGCTATGCGCAGTCCTTCTCAATTGAATGCATGTTTGAAGAGAGTTAAAAAAACGAAAAAGAAGAAGGCAAAGCACATAGAAACAGAATAAAAAACGTTGTCATGCTGCAAGAGTAAGAATCGAGTCATTTCAAAAAAAAAACAAGCAAACAGTGTACAACGCAAAAAAATTTCAATCAGTAGCAAACGTATCGGTTCCAATTATTTGGGTGTGGTGAGTTAATTATTAGGGAGATTCGAAAAGGAAAAGAAACCATTTTGAATGCTATATACTTAATGACGAGACACTGCGAATATTAGGAACGATTAATACAGATATGACATAGACAATCATAGTTAACTTTACATAAGGTGATCGATACTTCAATGTATGTCAGTCAACGGTCATGTTAATTCGCTATCCATGCTGTAAAGACTGCTCGAAAACCGCTGGTTAACTGCAGTTCTTCTGCTTAATTTAGCTGTATATCTTACTTCAAGAATATTTTTAGTCTCTTAGAAAAATGATTGATTTTAGTCGAAACGGCGCCTCCTAATTATCATTAGCACGCTCAAGTCATCTGTACTAGCTATCCCATTGGCGCATAAGTTCTGAGAGTTTCGATCAGTAGAATAATATCGCCAATATAAAACTACATTTTAAGGAAAGTAATTATATATTCTGATAGCACTTGGAATTCTCTATCACCTTGTGTATTTAAGTCTTGACTTACATTTATTTGCTGAAAAATACTTTGAGTACAGTGAAGATACCCTCGCCCTCAGATTCCCACGAATTCCATTTTTGTTCTTTTGTCATGTGTTTTTAAAATTTTTATCTATACAGTAATCCGTCTTTTTAGAAAAGTAATTATGTATTCTGAGAGCTCTTGAAATGCTCTATCACCCTGTGTATTTAGGTCTTCATCTGAACTTATTTGCTGAGAAATATTTCGAACATTGCCAATACGGGTGAGGATGTCTTTACTGTATTCAAAATATTTTTCAGCAAATAAATGTAAGTCAAGACTTAAATACACAAGGTGATAGAGAATTCCGAGCGCTATCAGAATATATAATTACTTTCCTTAAAATGTAGTTTTATATTGGCGATATTATTCTACTGATCGAAACTCTCAGAACTTATGCGCCAATGGGATACATTGGCTATTTTCGTTTACTTTTCAAGCTTAACTATTTATTGAAGATGGTACCACAAAAATAGTATTGGTTAGAAGACTTAAATAATTGAAAGAAATGCAACGCCCTTTGACAAAAGTATACTGTGACATAATAAAATCGACTTTCTTTGAGTAGCAATCGATCTCTTCAAGACAGAGAATATTAATTTAATAGCAAAATTTACGAAAAAGGTTGGAAAATATCAGTAAACCATCCGAATGTCGGTTAACCGTCAGTTTCAATGAAAAATTAGCAACATTTGTATTTTGTGTCTGCCTCATATTTGTTTGAATTTTTCATTCGTCTCAATCCTATAGTATTGTGTATATCCAACATGATTCGCCTGTCTCTTTTTTTACTGCTATATTCATCAAGGTCGATTGTTAAAGAGACGAGAAACCTAAAGCGATATAACGTAATTGCGAATTTAATGAGACCTTACAAAAACGGGAGACAGACACAATAATAAAATTTATGTGCTGGTAAGAGTAAAAGTGGAAGCGCTTTCAGTCACAAATCGTTCTGCACAGATGAAGGTCAGAACTTGGCAGTGAGAGAGTAATGTCTGACACTAAAGAGAAAAAGTTGCCGATCATTATAGTCGAATCCATAATAATGAGCGCAAAGAGCATCACTGCACTGACTAATTTATAAGAGTTAGAAGGAACAATCTTCATTACCCACAACAATATGAAACATTAAGAATCCATTATTGCGAGACACAGAGCAATGCGTCAAACTGTTGATGAAAAAGCTTTGTGCTAATCAGGAATTAGTAAAAATCAGACCAAAAACTTTGGGATATATGGTCGTACTTCGAAGTCACTGTGTGAAATTTTGATCCTTCCATTGATTTCTCATAACATTGATGAAAACTTCAAGGGCACGGCGCAGTCCAGAGAATTGATCTCGAACAACTTCAGACAACAGAGCAATTTGCAAGAGTAGGAGCTGATAGCTTTAAGTAGCACAGTAACCATTGAGAGTCAGAGAGAAAAAATCTAGCTCTCACAACACTGGAGGCAGTGATGGTAAATGGGCCCCAATCATCAAACCATTTAGTAGAATGTCAGTGAACAGTTTTAAGCAATACAGGATATATGAGAATAACAGAAACATATTTATATTCACATAGGGCTATACAATGTAGCTCGATAAAAATCCTCAATCAACCGAACAATGTATCTAGGTCAGAGCAAACAGCGCTAGATACTGCGTAACTGTGTCGCAAAGAAATAAACATGCTGCAGACCATTCATCTATTCAACTAAGTGCGTGAGAAGAGTATTATGTGGCACTGGAACGCTTACGACTTACATTAATATTCTTAGGTCCATAATCGGATATGTAAGAAGAGAAAAAGACAGCCAAACAAACCATCAAAATGTTCTCGTGACATGTAACAGCTTCAGATATCCAATGAATGTACTTTGCCGAGGGTGTGGGCGTATGTGTCGATGTGACTGTGCGACATAAGAGTGGGGGTAGGTGTTGCTCTTTCCTTACTAACACCTATCTCAACTCACTCTCACATCCATACCCACACCCACACCTTAGACCAGGTCAAATTTTGAAAATTCAGCCTGGCCTGGGAGCTGTCGGCTTGGCCTGCTGTCTGGCAGCCTCCAGGCAGCAGGCCAAGCTGGTAGCTCTGAATCCACACCCTATACCAACACTCACACCCACATGCATCCATATTCCATACCAACACCCGCCCACGTCTACACCCTACATTCACCCACATCCACGCCCACACCCATCCACATCTATATCCACATCCATATCCACACCCGCCCACATCCATATCCATACCCACCCGCATCCATAT